GCCAACACGAGTTAATAAAACGAAGAAGCAATTTTGGCGTTGAAAATACACTATCAGCCTGTTAATCAAGATCCTACTGTACTTAAAATTAGAGGGTCCTCGATAGATATCGGCAATGATCCTCCACAATATGGACGGTAACTCGAAACTCGAGCATCAGTTCGACCTATCGATCCAAAAGGGAATAAGATTACAACGTAACTGGAGGTTGGAATTTGGCGAGGCCAATTAGGAACCGGCTAGTATCAGTGATGCGTTGAATCGATGCGCGAGAGCTCGACGCAGAGTGGTAAATTTTGTGGCAGTATACCAGGAATGCAAATTTCCGTATGCAACGAAACTGAATGCATCGTGACTTTCATCTTTTTTATTTTTTTATTTTTTCATTTTTTTTATTTTGATAGCTACACGCCACTTTTGTCTTCAATTTAGAAGGAATTTGCTTTTTGTTCACGTCGGAAAAAAGAATCGTAATTGGCGGTTAAACCGGCATGGTTCGTCGATTTGACAAATTAACGCGATTCGCAATTCGCGATGGCGTAAATGGCGCTCGTAAATCTGAACGAGCAATATTGTCGAGATGTCGCTACAATATCGATATTGTCATTTGTTAATTGATCCCTGTTTTAATGACTGAAATCCGATTTCAGTGGAATGCAAGGATAAACGTTTATTGCTTTTTCCCTCCTTTCGTGGTTTCCATGGAATAAGTATTCCTCGAGTATCCGAAGCATCTGTTTTGTTATCTGAAATGTTTCATTTGGTTTGGGATACCCTGTGTATAATATATACCTCGATGAAAAATTTATCGAAGTGTTCCCTATTTCACGAGAAAGTGTAGGGAGGAAATGAAAATCTCTGCATTTTGTAGTCATCTCGTGCATTTGCAATTACCTCCGTCTTCAGTGTATGGTTATTTCTATGTGAACGTTTATTGACGCACGAGATCAGTGATTATAGAATTATATTTTAAGCAGAATTACATTTTAACTATATTTTTATTTATTTATATGGGATTAACCCATTAGAAAAATTACAAGAAAGTTATTATAGTGTTATAATAATTTTTTATAGTTTTATAGGTATAAAGTTAATGGTAACAAATAAAAATAAAAATAAAAATATACAAATATATAAACAGACGAGTTGTGTATAAGTATAAATAAGAAGAAGAAAAATTTTTTTACAGTGAGATGCAATGTAGTAGCTGTTTTATAAAATGAAGAGTTTGGCTAAATAGATCTAGGGTAGAATGAGGGATGTTAACATTAACCCTTTGCACTCGATTTATTTTCAAAGTTGTTGGGTGTCAACTTGTATTTATTTTTAGCTAAATGAATTAAAGTAATTCACAGTGGTAGAATTCAATGTATTACATTTATTTCATTTATTTTTATTATTATAAAATGTTTTTAATAAATTAGTAAATTAGTATTGTCACTTCCAGCATGACATACAAGTGTAAAGGGTTAATAATCATTCTATTAATATCTGAGTGGTATGCAAAAGCGGTTTTACGTTGTTGTATATAAAGAAAGTTGCATCGTCTTAAATGAAAAGTTGGAATATTGATTGAGAAATTTTCTAATATACCAGAACAATTTATAAAACTTTTATATACTGGTTGATGTGATTTCGGACCATCTGGTTATCTGAAACGAAAAAACCAAGAAGCATCTTAATTAGTATACATACGACTATAGTATATGCCACCGAAACGGTGAAATTTCGAAAAGTAAAAAAATGGCAGCATTTTGAAGTTTAAATATCGATTTTCCTTGTGTTTTTCGTGTTTTCGGTGGTAAACAAAAATGGAAAAATACATTAGATTTTGAAATCCGTGATTCACGCGATAGAGGTACATCTAGTGAACATCTCTTCCAAATTTAAAGTCAATCGGTCAACTGAAACGCGAGATATCCCGATGGCCAGTTAAAAAAATACGGTTTCGAGAAAAACGCGTTTGAAGCTTTTGTTACCCGTTGTTCAGTGTCTCTACGTTGCTCTTTAAATATCTATAACTTCGCCAATTTTTCGAATTCAAACAAATCCTTTTACACAGACATTTTTGAAAGCGTACACCTTTCGAAAATGTAAAAAAAGTCGACTTTTTAAGCCGATTTATAACAATACCCCTTAAACAATTCAATTAACGCATTTCCATTGGTATATTACATTAAAAAATTTCCAACTAGTGTCTTCGGATTCGTCACATTTTTATTATATATTTTATTATACTCTATATACAGTATATGATAATAAATAACCGAAACGTGATAAATATTTCAGTTCCTCTTGAGAGATGTCCTTAACATTAGATTTTAAATAAGTCAATTTGAGTTTATAAAACGAAGAATCTATTTTGACGTTGGGTTTACAATAATACCCCTTAGACAATTCAATTAACACATTTCCATTGATATATTACATTAACAAATTTTCAACGGGTGTCTTCGGCTTCACTACAATTTTATTAAATATTTTATTATACTCTGCATACAATATATATAATTAAGATAATAAATAACCGAAAGGTGATAAATATTTCAGTTCCTCCTCAGAGATGTCCTTAATAAATCAACACGAGTTAATAAAACGAAGAACCTATTTTGGTGTTGGGTTTACAATAATACCCCTTAAAAAATTCAATTAACGTATTTCCATTGATATATTACATTAAAAAATTTCCAACTAGTGTCTTCGGATTCGTCACATTTTTATTATATATTTTATTATACACTATATACAGTATACGATAATAAATAACCAAAATGTGATAAATATTTCAGTTCCTCTTGAGAGATGTCCTTAATATTAGATTTTAAATAAGCCAACACGAGTTAATAAAACGAAGAAGCAATTTTGGCGTTGAAAATACACTATCAGCCTGTTAATCAAGATCCTACTGTACTTAAAATTAGAGGGTCCTCGATAGATATCGGCAATGATCCTCCACAATATGGACGGTAACTCGAAACTCGAGCATCAGTTCGACCTATCGATCCAAAAGGGAATAAGATTACAACGTAACTGGAGGTTGGAATTTGGCGAGGCCAATTAGGAACCGGCTAGTATCAGTGATGCGTTGAATCGATGCGCGAGAGCTCGACGCAGAGTGGTAAATTTTGTGGCAGTATACCAGGAATGCAAATTTCCGTATGCAACGAAACTGAATGCATCGTGACTTTCATCTTTTTTATTTTTTTATTTTTTCATTTTTTTTATTTTGATAGCTACACGCCACTTTTGTCTTCAATTTAGAAGGAATTTGCTTTTTGTTCACGTCGGAAAAAAGAATCGTAATTGGCGGTTAAACCGGCATGGTTCGTCGATTTGACAAATTAACGCGATTCGCAATTCGCGATGGCGTAAATGGCGCTCGTAAATCTGAACGAGCAATATTGTCGAGATGTCGCTACAATATCGATATTGTCATTTGTTAATTGATCCCTGTTTTAATGACTGAAATCCGATTTCAGTGGAATGCAAGGATAAACGTTTATTGCTTTTTCCCTCCTTTCGTGGTTTCCATGGAATAAGTATTCCTCGAGTATCCGAAGCATCTGTTTTGTTATCTGAAATGTTTCATTTGGTTTGGGATACCCTGTGTATAATATATACCTCGATGAAAAATTTATCGAAGTGTTCCCTATTTCACGAGAAAGTGTAGGGAGGAAATGAAAATCTCTGCATTTTGTAGTCATCTCGTGCATTTGCAATTACCTCCGTCTTCAGTGTATGGTTATTTCTATGTGAACGTTTATTGACGCACGAGATCAGTGATTATAGAATTATATTTTAAGCAGAATTACATTTTAACTATATTTTTATTTATTTATATGGGATTAACCCATTAGAAAAATTACAAGAAAGTTATTATAGTGTTATAATAATTTTTTATAGTTTTATAGGTATAAAGTTAATGGTAACAAATAAAAATAAAAATAAAAATATACAAATATATAAACAGACGAGTTGTGTATAAGTATAAATAAGAAGAAGAAAAATTTTTTTACAGTGAGATGCAATGTAGTAGCTGTTTTATAAAATGAAGAGTTTGGCTAAATAGATCTAGGGTAGAATGAGGGATGTTAACATTAACCCTTTGCACTCGATTTATTTTCAAAGTTGTTGGGTGTCAACTTGTATTTATTTTTAGCTAAATGAATTAAAGTAATTCACAGTGGTAGAATTCAATGTATTACATTTATTTCATTTATTTTTATTATTATAAAATGTTTTTAATAAATTAGTAAATTAGTATTGTCACTTCCAGCATGACATACAAGTGTAAAGGGTTAATAATCATTCTATTAATATCTGAGTGGTATGCAAAAGCGGTTTTACGTTGTTGTATATAAAGAAAGTTGCATCGTCTTAAATGAAAAGTTGGAATATTGATTGAGAAATTTTCTAATATACCAGAACAATTTATAAAACTTTTATATACAAGAAGAAGATATTTTCTTTAATATATATAAAGATAACTATATTTAAATATACCTATATTTTCTTTAATGCATGTAAATATAACTATATTTAAATATAATTATATTTTCTTTAATAGATATACTTATATATTACTTTAATAAATATATTTTCTTTAACCACGTGACTAAACAAAAATTGCTCAAAAATTCTCACTTCCTTCCATTAAATACTTGTTTACCATCCACCAATCCATCCCCATCCATTATCCCGTCCTCTCGACCCTCGTCGAAATCAGAACGAAACTCACCGTGGAACACTGGAACACTCCACAACCTCATGCTCGCCCAAACCCCCAGAAACGCGACACCGTAGTCACACTTCTCCCTAAGAGTCGATCGCGAACCATTGAAACCGCAATGACCACTGACACGTCCGTTAAAAGTCCCCGCAAGAAACACCCCTAATCGAGCAATCAACCGAGTACCAGTTCCAGCGACACCTCCAACTCCCTCTGGCTTCGTCCCACATCGATTGCCCACTAATCAGTGCGATCGTCGTGTGTCTGACAGGTGGACGTCTCGACCCAAGTGGATCTGCACGGTGGTTTTGGGGCGCCAGCTGGCAGCATCAGCCTCGACTGGGACCGCAGAGCGACTCCGCTGTACTCGCGCGAGGACATCAAAGAGCAGTACTGCATCACCAGTCGACAGTTGGACGCGGTGGAGAAATCTGGTGGCGGATTCTTCGGCTGTCTGTCGACCAGGGGCCCGTCACCGTGCGCCTCAGCGAGGACCTCTATCCTCTCAGCCTGCGTGAGGAGCGTGCCCAGCGACGAGAACCTCTGCGACGCCCCCTATCCCAGACGGCCCCTGCAGATCATGTACCGTCAGCCTTACCCGACCTATTCGAGGGGTCTCTCGCGTTACGATTTCGACGACGAGGCCGACTGGATCGAGAGCTCCTACTTCCGGCGCAGACCCAGGTCCTTTTGCACCGTGCCTGATCCAAAAAGGTGAGTTCTCATCTGGGGTCAGTAGGACGGGGCAGGGAGCTTTCGTGGGGTAGATTCGGGGTGGGCGATTGTTTGGCAGGGTGGAATGATTGATCTGATGGAAGGTCTGGATGGAAGGTAGAGCAAATGTTTGGGTGGAGTCGGATAATGTGGAGTATTTTGGATCGTTCGTTTATTTGCTGCTGCAGCTGTTGGAAGTTAAAGGCTTTTCGCGTTCTGGTTGTTATAGGGATGTTCTATTGGACTGCAATTGGTGGGCAATAAGCGGCCTTTTTAATTTCGTTGGTTAATATAGAGGAAGAAATATGTGTATCGTATAATACGAAGATAATAGAAGGATAATAGGAAATCGATATTATCGATTATTTTTGTTATTTTTGTGATCAAGTAGTGATAATCTATGTGATAGTTAATTATACCTTCTATTATTCTACATTCAGTTTTTTATTTTGAGAAACCTTTTTTATACGATGATTGATAATTTAATGGGTAGCAAACAAGAATAAATGGATTTATTATATTTGACTGATTCATTATAATTTTTTAAAAATATCGTAAATGTGTAAATGTAATTACATAGAGTATATGTACTATATTTTTCAATGGAGAGCAGTATTTTATTCGATAATATGTTTTTGATCGACGAAAGTGAGGGAAAGGCGTGGAAATGGCGGCCATCAATCACCCGCATGTAGTAATACTAACTGTTTATAAATATAGTCTTTAATTTTTTATTAATCTATTTTGTAATTATAACACTCATTCGAGCCAGGGAATAAACGAAATTTATTTTTTCAATTTTTTGGTTTCATATCGATTCGGTGTAATACAGCTCTCGAATGTGTTATGTGAATTTCGTAATGATTTTAAGATCGTTTCATTTTCCAAGTAAACTAATCGTGTAACTACTTAATAACCACACAGCAGTGAACTGCGTTTACGGAATTTCTTTCTGCAAGATTCGCCAGGTGCAAAAATATCCTGCACCACAAGCGTACCTCATCCCGTATGAACAAAACCAGACACCAAGCATCTAGAATGCAAACCACGAAAATGTAAATCTGACCTCTCGCACTGCAATCATAAACCGACATCCACACAAATCCTTGGAACATCTATTTCACGATTTTCACGAACAAATTCCAACGAAACGTGGAAGGAGAAAATAACGATCCACGTTCTGTAATAATTCATCAAGCCTCCGTAACTGAAATTTTCGGTACATTTTCAATTTTCAATTTTTCAAAATTTTCAATGGAAAAAGAAAAATTTCGAAGACAAAAAGAAAATTTTTATCCAAGAATGTGAAATTCGTAAATGATAGTAATCAAAGTGATATAATAAGTTTCTACCTGTATAAGAAGATTGAAATTACCGTCTCGTGTAATTGCAAAATTGCAATGATTGAAATACGTTAATTTTAATAAGCGTTAATACTTTGGTAATTCTGTTGTTAATTAAACTCGATATATCTTGCTTCACAAAATGGCGTTTGTACAGAAGCTGAACTATGTACACGTTGGTAACACGGAGTTCTCGTGATGCTGTGACGAACTTTGGAGATGAATTTGAAAGTGAGACAATGTGAGACAAGTAGCGAGACCCACAAGTACTTTGTCAAGAGTCAAGAGTGTCAGAAGTATGAAGGAGGGATGCATGACTTCCCTAAATCGAGTATACTTGCCTGCATACTCTTTTGTAATAGGTGCACAGGGCGGGAAAAAGTATATACACATATATGACATTATTGTCAAATAAAAATTCAAAGCTACTTATTCTCCAACCAAGAAAGAAACTTTAAAAGTAAAAAGAAAAATACAGTCTCATATTCACATATATATCTGACCACCCAAGTCAAACAAAACTGCAGTGTTTTAATGAGCATCATAAAAATGAATAAAAATTCAAAACTACCAATCCTCAAACCATGAAAAAAATTCAAAAATGAAAAAAAATGCAGTTTCATAGCCTCATACATACATATTCATGTAACTACCAAAGTCAACAAAATAGCGGTATTTTAATATCGAGCTCTAAGAGAAATTTTGATTTATGACCTAACCTCTCTATAGTGTACACCTTAGTATCAATCCAATTGCAGATTAATTCCAAATCACGATATTACAACTGTCCAAAATAAAAATTCTAAGTTACTGATCCACTCTAACACTGCACAATAGCAAACAAAACTGAAAAACAAAGAATAAAATGTCCCATAAAAACCATGAAAAGAACTTCAAAAATAAAAAGAAAGTGCAGTTTCATAGTCACATACATATGTACGTAATTACCAAAGTTATGCAAAACAACAGTATTTTAGTATCGAGCTCTAAGAGAAATTTAGATCTATGACCTAACCTCTCTATAGTGTACACCTTAGTATCAACTCAATTGCAGATTAATTTCAAATCGCGATATTATAGCTATCCAAAATAAAAATTCGAGGCTTCCCTCTAACGCTACACAATAGCAAACTAAGCTGAAAAATAGAGAATAAAATGTGCCATAAAAACCATGAAAAAAACTTCAAAAATAAAAAGAAAGAGCAGTTTCATGGTGACATACATATGTACGTAATTACCAAAGTTATACAAAACAGCAGTATTTTAGTGTCGAGCTCTAAGAGAAATTTAGATCTATGACCTAACCTCTCTATAGTGTACACCTTAGTATCAACTCAATTGCAGATTAATTTCAAATCGCGATATTATAGCTATCCAAAATAAAAATTCGAGGCTTCCCTCTAACGCTACACAATAGCAAACTAAGCTGAAAAATAGAGAATAAAATGTTCCATAACATACCTAACCATTCAAGATACACTAGGCTACGCAGGGCTGTTCGAAGTAAAATTTAGCATCATTTTCTCGCGCAACGCTGATAATATTCCCAGTACGTGGGAGAGGTTTACCACACTCGATGAAATATCTCGTCGTTCACGGTGCCGTGATTCGACGACGTAAATATTCCAGAGTGGCAGCGAGAGGAATTAACCACTCGGAACAGGGGCATAAAATACGCGGTCCCCGATAGAATCTTAAGAAGGATATTTGGAAGTTCGTAACAGACGTTCGTTGCACGAGCTTCCATAGGGCGACTGCATTGGCGAAAGCTCGTTATCGACGGTTATTGTAAGGGAAAAGCCGAGTGATTACGAGTTCGAAGCTGTGTTCCAAGGGGTTCGGTTTATTTCTGATTGCTGTCGCGTACAGTAGCCTTCGTTTGCCCTCAAGGCCGATCGCGAGGGCGATCGATGAAAAAATTATGTTCCCGAAGTACTCTACAGTATTTTTACTTTGGGAACGCGTCGATGGGAACGAGCGCGGAAATAAACGCGAGCACGTGACCGATCGATTTTCTGAAAATTATCGCGGAAGATATTGGAATGTCGGAAGACATGCTTGCTTCGAACGTTTCGCTGCTCGGCTTTACGTATCGATAATTACGACCCACGGATGGTTCTCGGTGTTAATGACTTTGATGGTATTATTTTATCAGTCGAGGTTGTCACTTGATGGAATAATTCGCGAGGAAGGTATACTGTTTGAACAAACTATACTCTATCGCTAATAAATATTAGGTCACTCAGAGAATAGGGATATATACGTCGCTGTGTTACCGCCGGGACTCGACAGATGGCGCGACGGAGTTGTTGACGCGGTTTGAGGTTGTGTTTGATGTTTCAGGCTCGAGTTATGATTGAGATAATTGTGCTTGGATAAAAATAACTGTGAAAATAAAGTCTCGATAAGCAATCTAGATAAGACGAATTTTTCACTTACTTTGTTTTATCTATTTATTTTGCAATAACTACTTTTAATTACTAAAAACTATTTTTGTAAAGTAATATGAAGTTAAAATTATTATATAGGTGCAGTTTCTAATTGTGCTATTAAATTTTAGAATTTATTTAAATGCATAAAATAAAATACACGGGAAATATATACAATTAGGTCATTTTATTTTACATTTTGAGAATATCGTTTTAATTTGACGATGTCGAGTGTGAAATTTGCTTGAAAATGTATTTTCATGGTTCTTTTTTATTAAATTTCGCAGGCTTTGTTAGCAGATAATAAAAATAACAATTTTCCATCGTTATTCTATGAATTTGGATTTATATTTCACGAGAGAATCTTTCTTCGATATCCACTGGTAATCTATGATCGTATTGGTCTTCCATTTTCTCCCTTCTGCTCTACTTCTTCGTTTCTGTCTTCTCTTTGAATGGTGGCCAGTTCGGTATGAAAGTCTACACAACTTATGGTAATAAATGTCAGTCATTTTGGAGAGATATACGCGCAGTGAGAAAGGAACGAATATGGAACTAAAGTTGAATAATGATTATGAAATGTTGGAAATATATCAGTGCATGCACACAATGCGTCGATATATCATAACTGTAACAGAATTTTTAGGAAAATTCAGTTTGGGAATAAAGCATGGGCGAAATATGGCATTGGTAAAACATAAATTGAATTTTTGTGTTACGTGGCTTCGGTGTTCCGTAAAGTTTTTGATTATCTGTATACAGAGGTAGAAAAAATTTTATTTTACTATGGTCTAATTGCCCAGATTTATTATTTACTTCTGTTCACTATTTCATACCTTTATATTACACTTGTTTTAATAATCTTATTATTATACTGCTGCTGTTATTATCATTATTAATATTTATTATTTTATATCTTTATATTTATTATTTACTTTTGTACAGTTTTGAACTGTTATATACTTTCTATTTATATTATAATTTATTTTTATACGACGATTATTTTTATCTTTAAGTGTGCCAGTTTCTATGACACGAATTTCTGTAATACTTTAAGTCTGTGATATATTATTCGCGATTAAACAAATGTAGATATTATCACATAGGTCGAGTTTTCCCATTAGTATTTTCTGTCTAAGATGGAAAGAGAACAACAAGAAACGTGGTCAGTTAACTCGCTTTGCATACTTCTTTGAAACAAAATTTAGCAGAAGGGAGGGGCGCAGTG